CAGCCCCTTCCATTCCAAGTAGGCGAGTGTTTCTCCAACGCCCTTCGATTTCATTGGTGGCACTCAATGCTGTAGCAGTACAAAGTTTTCCCTAAGAAGCTACGGGCGACCGAACATTTGGGAAGATATTTTTCTTGAGTTGGTCGATGTGACCCAGCGCTACCGTCTTCAGCCTTTACGTATAGAAAATATTGGTCTTTCCATTTTTCAGGTAACGTTCCGTCCATAAGCATCAACGCCGCCCTTTGCGACTGCGGTGAAATAATGTCAAGACCTTGGCGGACGTTTCGAGCTCGATGTTGGAGATCATCCAGATCGAGAGTACTGGTCTACAGGTAGCTTTCCATGGGTGACTCCATACTATAAGTTTCGCAGCTGTTTGGAGGTGACCACGAATTGCGAAGGTCATCTCCAGTATGTTCGACTGAGAATACTGCATCATTTTGGTGTACATGAAGTGATGGCGCGCCAACTCCCCTGGCTTATAGAGGAACATTCTGGTATCTTCCCCCTGGTACTGCGTATCACTGTGCTTCCGTCTGGGCAGCGAAACCTTTGCTGATTGTGACCTCGGCTCAAAGTACTGTTTTTTGCGCCCCGCCCCTGTATATGGAGAAATTATGCTTTAGTTACCACACAAATTGGCACCAAAACTCTCGAGCAGAGTAAAAAAATCTGCCCCCTCTAATAGAACGGTGGCGGTAAAGTTCGTTATCTCGTTTGCCACAAACGTCATGTTAGCAGTGGAGCGCTCCCGCGACGGTGGGCGTACCCTACGACCACGCTTGGCAGCGTCTCTCGGCGGGTAGTGTAACTGTGAGCTAAGTTCCAGTATTAGGCTGCCACATCTCGGCACCTAGTGCGCTTGATCCGGGAGCCCTTCCATAAGTGACTGACCTCTTGTTATAATGCTCATCTCAAAGCATAACGAGGGACTGAATCAATATTCATTAATGTCATTTCATCAGGCTTATATTAATAATAACATCGCTGTACACCTTGATCTACTGCAGCAGCAGGAGAAGCTGAGGCATCTAAGGTACCTGAAAGATGCGTTGTGTGCCTGCAAAGAGGGGAGGAGTGCAACAAATGTAAGTATGCGCTAGGTTTTCTCTGTCCGCAAGGCATTCTGTGGTAAAGCTGAAGAGCTTATTATGATTGTGAAGGATGGCTTGCGCTGCCTTGGTGCTGTATAAGTGTTCTTAAAAGATCATATTACATTACACTGGTATGATGGAGATAGAATGGGCAGGTGTGTAGTTGGGGTGTTCGTCGTAGAGGCCGTGTATCATTGGTAAGGTTTCATGGGAGTTGTGATGCGGGGGAAGTGTTTGCCTGTGCAGGGTAAGGGATTGGGAAGATGTTTGACATGAATAGCGTACTGCTACATAGACCACTAGGTCCTGGCAGAGAATTGTATGGCTGAGGGAGAACCGAGTTAGAGAACTCGCCAGTACAGCCTGAAAATCATGCTGTGGGACACAAACACGAAAGTGTGCTGTAGCAATGTAATTCTTGGCGACTAAAACACTTGTTAGATCACGCATTGATTCGATAGAGGTCTGATACAAGGGAATCAAAGCAAGGTGTTTAATGATGTGCGAAAGGTGATCTGCTGTTAACTAGTTTGCCTTTAGCTCAGTTCGTAAGTACTTCTGTCATCCATATAGCGTAGAAGGTAAGTTCTTCACATTTTCCAGACCCATTTTCCATTCAAGCGTGTGTTTCTGAACCTTTAAAGTGACTTTGATTCTCCTAACTCTTGAATTTCCCCTTTCTTCTATTTATCAATAATATTCACTGAGCTGGAAATGCTGGTGAGAGGCACCAGCCAGCGCAGCCAATTAGGCAAGGTCGCCCCACAGGCGATCTCACCGGTGTCCCCACAGGCGAGGGCGGAAAGGTGCTAAGTGAGGTCAACTTAGCTAAATTGACATTCCCCGTCCCGGTGATTGCCGTTGTCGATGGAAGGGCGAAAATTTCCAGGAAATTATCACCATTGCTTCTCCGTCTCTTACTCTGCACTCTGCGCTCTAACACACGCCGCCGCGCTGTCTACTCACTCTTCCGCTCTGGACTCTTACGATCGATAATTGCTGACGCTCTCGATCAGCTGATTCCTGCCGCATTTTCGCAGCATTTTTGCTAGATTCAGCTTGTTGAAGCTGAAATTTTTCGACTTTCGACTTCAGTGATTGAAAGGAGTATTCTTACTTAACTATATCGCATAAAAGAAATAAGGACATTCAGAAAAAATTCGAGAACTTGCGAAACAGAAGGTGAAACAAGTTTTCTAGGGAAATTTCGTGATAAACTCATGCAAAATGAGAAATAATTTCAGTACGAATACTCACCTTCAAACATTGAAATCGAAAGTCGGAAAATTTCAGCTTTAACGAGCTGAATCTGGCAAAAAGCTGCGAAAATGCGACAGGAATCAGCTGTCGAAGAGCGATTATTGATCGGCGAGAGTGCAGAAAGGAAGAGTGAGTAGATTGTGTGGCGGTGTGTGTTAGAGCGCAGAGTCAGTATCAGAGAGGCAGAGGAAAGGTTTTTGCGGCTTTCCACCAATAGGCCACTATCGGGCCGCTCGCCAGCGTGGCCTTAGGACCGCCCCACCGTCCGCTGAGAACTGCACTGTACGTAATGTTATGGTGAGGGCAGTCAAAATTCTTCCCGCATTGCCCTTTTTGGCAGTAGGAGTAACGTGCTTATTATAGCTCGGGTAATCCATTGACGATCTGGTGTTGCTGAGACTGAAGAAGCCTATTTGCAAGCCCACGCAAGTTCTAGAATTTTGGAGTGAGTCCTGAAATCACGCCATGAACCGTGCAAGATTCTAGCTTTGACTAACGATTTTGAACGCTTGCACACAATTCAGTAACAGCAGACCGCTCGGGACATCTCGGGCGCGGGAGGTGGCCGGCTTGGCTGCGCGCCGCTTACGCGCCGTCACTTGCCCCAAATTGTGGTCACTCGTCAGCTTCCCAGAACCAGGCTGAGTCGCGAAAAAACCTATCCCTCTCCCTGAAAGACTGCGGTCGCGAAGGGACTGTGCCTTCCTGTGCAGACATAATTCTCTGTACGAAGTAAAAACCCATTCAAGTGGCTATAGTGTTAGATAGATCCACTGCGCATTCCAGTGGGTTGACCAGTACCAGCCATTCTCTCCTTTGCCCATCTAAGAAATGGTTACTTATCAACTGTGAAGAGTAAGTGATCATAATTAACATTAGCAAACAGAGTCGTGAGCTCCACCAGGGCTTGTTCATTTATAGTACTGACCATGCTGCGAGTAGTTGTACTGACTAAACTCTGGTTAGTTCCAGTTGAGACAGTTCCTGTACTGAGAGATGATGAGCTTTCTTTCTCCGCTCTTCTCTTTGTTCCCAGATTTCCTCCCATCCTCTAGGAAGAGCTCTGTATAGTCGTGATCCCAGCGATAAAAAGGCAGCCAGGGCGTCCTCTTTGCCAGTTATGCCAACCTGAGCCAGCTACATCTAGTGGGAAACGCTGCTCTGGCTGTACTCAGTAGTACATCACCCCCCCCCTCCTCATCATCGCCCTGTCCCTTGCATGGGTCTTCACTGCGCACCACGGGAAAGTGCGAATTAGCGGTGTCAGTACTACCCTCCAAAAAGAGTGCCTCAGTACGATCTCCCGATAGGGTTCGGTCAACAGTGATGTGAGGGCCCCGATAGCGCTGATCCGACATATAGTTTGTAACATCACAGCCAGGAGGGGACGGCCTGATGAGGGTGGGACGACCCCGCCTCCATCTGCCCTGCTTTACCAATGGCGACCGGGTAGTGATCAATTTACGAAGAAAATGACCAGTGATGGAAAGGTGAGGACTGCTGATTGCGACCCGACTGATTGCGATGATATCGTGTGTGGATAGCCTTTTTGATACAGAGCAACGCAGGCAAAAGCCGCTCCTAAAAATTACTTCTTTATTCTTAACACTCAAGGTACGAAAAAAGGTTTGATCAACCTTTTGACCACGTCGTTACCACATATAGACCCTGTATGTGGTAACGACGCCGCTTGCCTCCCACATTCGTTCGCTCTCAAAGTTGCTCTAAAAGCATAAAACTTCTCAAGCAACTTTCAACCTTTTCAAGTTCGGACTGAAAATGGCTAGGAAAGGGTGGAATTATTTTTACATGAAGGTCCAACCACCACCATAACACATTGGGGTATGTGACAAGAAATTTGTAACATGCCGCGCGGAGTCGTAAGCGGCGAGGGACGAGTTGACCTGTCGTGCCGTTTGAATATGACTACCAGAGACCGGAATCGCCCAACACTGTGTCCTCACTCCTTTTAAGTTTGAAGTAGTTTCGTCGCCCCTAAGGAGAAACCACTGCGCAGTGGGGACTTGCCCCGCACCACCGGAGGATGCGCCGCGAGCGACGGCGCGACAATTCATGGTTATCTTGCCTCTCTCCCCAACCACTTGTAGCTTACTCTAAACAGTTTTATCGTGCGGATAGCATAACCCACTTTTGTGCTGGGCTGATGCTCATTTAAGACCGGGTCCATGACTGAATAGAAGCCAATCCCTGTACCAGGAGGTTCGTTCCACAACCGCAGACTATGTTCCGCTTCCGCCGCTCGAATTTGCTTGATGATAGTGTCACGGCTCTGCCACACTTTATCGTCTCCGCCCCACCGTTTATGATCTCCACTCTTATCGTTCCACCATCGCTGTGTAGCGATAGGGTCTCCATCATTTGCGTGTTTTCTCGCCATACGGCTGTCTGTTTCCCTTTCCCACGCTCGGTTTCTCTTCGCCTGACGGTGCTTAACTAACAAGGGTCTTATTTGAAGCTTTTGCGACAGTTTGTTCGGCTTTTTTTTCTGTCGGGTTACTTATCGCCTCGTCATTCGTACTTGAACCCCACTACCTGCAAATGGCAATCGTTGTCTTCATCTTCGATGGACACACGACTTCCTTTGGTAGGGTACAGGAATTATACGAATGAGCCTTGAACCAAATGTGTTCCTTTCTCAGGTCACTGACATTTGCCATCCAATGCTACACTGAGTCGAATCGCAACATCGTGAAAGCTTTCATAACTCCTTATCTGAGCGTGAGTTATGTTTCATTGGGTTTCTTACTGTAAAGAGGGGCACTATAGCAAGTGGGGGACTATATCCATGCGGGTGTGTTCATCGGGGGAACTACGAAGTGAAAAGAACGTATCAATTTCGTTGATTCCTCACAGGTGGGAAATGTGCAAACTGTATGCAACGCAACGTAGGAAATCCGAAAATCAGTGCTCCCAGCGTTTTCCGGGGCAGAGGTTGTTGAGAGGAGGGGGGAGGGGGGGGGGGGGGGACGCCGGATGGCCGCTATTGTTGTTGTATCACAGTCACATAGGCATAGTTTCGAAATCCATGGGTTCTCCAGATTTTCAGATCTGTAGGTATGCTTCTTATTTCGCCAATTTTTTCTGTGGATTAGGCAGGTGAATGGCGGCTTTGCAAAGCCTGCCGTTTTACCAGGCTTCCCAAAGTATGCGAAGTGCAAAGTGGTGAGGGTATAGAGCTTTACCTTTCCGGCATCGCGCGCAGAGACGCGAGTGCCGCTAGCTAGTTGACATAATACAAACGGACAGATAGGGTCGACTCGCCGCAGCGCTGCCACATGGAGAGGGCTGGGTCCTGCCACGAAAGCTGTGCACACCGCTTGCAAAGCCTATTTTCACCACACCCATTCTGTATCGAAAGTAACGAATGCCTCCTCCCCGGTCCCAGTGACTGTATGTATCATTCAAATTGAAGAGTGTGAGAGTGGGTGGTAACGGGCACCGGGCAAAGCAGCAGCACGACCAGGCCACTTCTTATGTCCTCCCTTTTCTGACTATGCCTGGTCGTTTAGAAGCATTTGCAAACGGCTAAGTTCTCTCCTCTTGTTTGAGGGCGCGAACGAAAGCATACATGACGTGGCCAGCCACCCGATACACCTTAACGACCTTTACCCCGCGAGCAGAAGTGGGACAGGAAAGTGTTTAGCTCAGGCTGATATTGTAATCATAGACGTGGACGAGGGTTCACGCAATGTGGAAGGTTCCAAGTTCAAGCCGCCACAATAGCCTCTGTCCTCCAAAGTGACCAACTGTTTTACACCCATGCAATAAATATTGCGTCTTCAATGTACGGATGTGAGCTTGCGCTGCATTCATACGTTGCCGCAGCGTCTACTAGCGTCCACCAGCGTCTGCCAGCGTCCACCAGTGTTCACTAGCGATCGTGAGTAGAGAGTATAAGGAAGTAAGAGGGTAGCAAACAGCTGGATCAAGCGTCGTGAAATTGCGGCGTGTGTAACCGCACCGTACAAATGCACTATATACTGTAAACAAAATTTTTGGGGAGTTCCCTACTGCTGTGCTCTAGCAGAGTTCGATGCTGTTGTACACGCTGCGATTTCACGTCTGATCTAGCTGTTTGCTACCCACATACTTCCTCATCCTCTCCCGGTGGACGCTGGTAGACGCTGGCAGACGCTAGATCGATATCTATACTTTCCTAGTCGCTGACGCTGCCGGACGCTCGGAACGCTAGTGGTCGCTGGTGGATGCTGGCAGACGCTGGTGGACGTTGTCGCAAAGTATGAACGCAGCTTCATGAAAATTCAGCAGCTCACTTCAGAAAGGCATTTGCTACTAGGGGAACAAATCATACATGGGAAAAGTTCTCTTCAGTGAGGCTTCGTTCACGATTAGGTACCTTGCAAAAAATAGTATAGACGTGAATTTAGGGAGAAGATTTCAACACGTGTACAATTATATCACATTTGGATCCACAGAAGAAGTCTATTACAGCAGTATTTATGTTCGGAGACAAGCACGTATCAGTACGTGATGTTTTTCATCAGCACATACAGAGTAAAACATAACTGATCCGTTTAGGGATCCCATCTCGAATATGAATTCGATCAGAATAAATACGTGCTCAAGACACAGTACTCATGCTCTGAAGACCAATGCAACAGCCTTGATGAGTTCATGGTAAAGTTCCCATTCTACCGTATCAAGCTACCACATCACTAACGCCGTTTTCCAGGAAGTTCTCCGGGAGGAAAGCGCCAAAAAGATTAAGGGCTCAGTGCTTGCTAAAATTACGCTCATTGCTCTGGAAGACGGGCTCATGGATGTGACACCGGGACGATTCGGCAAGCGAAACGGTTAGACACCCACGTAAACATTAGTTTGATCCGCGTGCGGTTTGCGTTCGTGGTCGCCCACGCTTTTTTTGACAGCTACTCCCGCGATTCATTCAGTGTTTTTCTGCGTCAAAAGTAATATGGCCATCAGCCTAGGCTGTCGCACGGCTAGCCAGGTGCTTAGACGTAGCAGTCTCATTGCCGTAACGCATCCGCGCGCAGCTCAAGCTCCGCCCACTCCATGCTGCGGAATTGGGTGCCCCAGACAAAGACCTGTTCAGCGACTACGTTCACATTGTGTGCTTATATGTTAGCACTGTTTGCTCTGATCGCTTTCATCCATATGATCGGAACATTCGTGATGCTCTGCACATATTCCAAGAAGAAGAAGTCCTGAAGATGTCAGATAGGAAACCCAGTTTTCTGAAGTCGAAAAAAATCAAAACAACGTTTTTTACTGAGTATAACTGCATTAAAATAAAGGTTTTTAAAACATTGTCATTGTGTAGATGTAATGCATTTGATAACGTTGTAATTTGGTGTTTTTGAAGAAATTGACTCATTGAGGGATCAATTGGCCACATTCTCGGTTGCTGGCCTCTTCTTTTCCACTTTTTGTGCACTCACAAAAGATGCGCGCCATATCCCGGAGACGAGAAGGGCGTAGTTTCGTACCTCATTCAAACGCGGCAACAAGTGGGATTGGTGGAACATTCTCCTCCTTGATCAATTGCATGTCTTTGTCAACGCTGCAAAGAATGACAGTTGTCCCGAACGAACAGATCCTACAAAAATTCTACATCGAGTGGCACGTACAAACTGGGATCGAAATGGGGTTCTATCTAGGGCAGGTGGCATGTTTTTGTGCTTTTTTTGTTCACAGTCGAGTTACTCAACCCCTTGTCGTCTATATGGAACCCCTAATCCACCATCTGAGATGGCGAGTAATCGCGGGTTCTTTCTTTAACTGAATGCGATATGACCTATACAATGACTTGCGGGGCCAGCCGATGTACAAGTCAGTGTTTTATCCTCCCAGACGAATCTGGTACCAATTTACCGTCCCCAGAGAAGAAGGAGAAAGCACCGTTGGTCTGGGTGGGACTGGGAGCTGGTCCGGGAATCGACCCTCGTGTATGGTAAGCGAGCCACATGCCACCACACCACCGAAAATAGAATGAAATGTTTGTCAGTGGGAAGTATGCAGCGAAATGCCCTACCGTTTTGGAATAGCACCAGCCCATGTGTAGCCTGTGTCTGTGTTATAAGGGTGGAATATCTGTTTAATAAAGTTTATGAGGTGGAACAAATAAAAATTAAATCCAAAGGCTTTCTCCTTCTTTGGACGGGGGATTAAGCGTACAATCTCCAGAGTCAAGCATCACGCTGAGGAAAATCGGCCCGTCGATACGACCCCCCGTAAAATGAGTGTTCGTACGACCCCCCCCCCACCGTACGCTATGCTACCACTTCGCTATGCTTGGCTACTTGAAAAGACATAATTTGAATGGTCACGGAGCAGCTCTCACGGCTTCACCTCGAAAATAACGATGAAAATTTGGAGAGAGCGCTTAGCTCGATTTCGATTACGCGAATCGAAAGAGTAGAATTTATTA